GTAGGCCAAGGGAGGTGATCCTGTCCCTCTGCTCCTCACTGTGAGACCTCATCCAGACGTGGGGTCCTCAGCACAGGAGAGATGTGGAGGAGGACCACAGAAACGATGGAACACCTCCCTGTGAGGACAGGTTGAGAGACCAGGGCTGTGCAGTCTGGAGAGAAGAAGGCTCTGGGGAGAGAGGAAAGCAGCCTTCCAGTATCTAAAGGGGGTGTAAGAAATAAGGGACAGACCCTTCAGCAAGATCTGCGGACAAGGAGAAACTGTTTCAAACTAAAAGAGGGGAGATTTAGATTGGATATAAGGAAGAAGTTGTTTACAGTGGGGGATGGTGAGGCACTGCACAGGGTGCCCAGAGAGCTGGTGCTGCCCCATCTCTGCAGACGGTCAGGGCACGGCGCTGTGAGCACTGCTGGAGCTGTAGGTGTCCCTGTGCACTGCAGGCACTGGGAACAGACGGCCTTCGGGGCTCCTTTCCAACCCCAACCATTCTGTGATTTCACGTGCTTCCTCCCGCTGACGTTGCACGCCCCTAAGCACTGATGCTGCCTCACTCCTCCTCCATCCCATAGCGGCCACAGGAACACACCTTCAGCCACGCACAGCCCGACGGACATCCAACACTACGCCCTGAGCAGCCGCAGGGCTGCCAGCACCCGCCGCCACAGCGTGCCCCGCAGCGCGGCCTCCCGCCGGGGTCGCCTTACCGCCCGGGCCGCCGCCAGCCGGGCACGGCTCGATCCCGCGGCCCGCAGGAACACCGCCGCCGGCAGCTCACCTGTGCGGGGCCGCTCCGCGCCGCTCGCCGCCGCCGCCGGCTTCTTTCCCAGCACCGAGTCTGCCGAGAGCCGAGAGAGGAGCGCTGAGCGCGGGGCTCCGATCCCCGGCCCCGCCGCCCGCCCTGCCAGCCCTCCTCACCTTTGAAGAGCTCCACGTGCTTGAACTCGAACGGGATGTTGTTGGTCCGGGCGAAGATGTAGATGGAGCGGCAGGGCTGCGAGAGCAGATCCAGGTACAGCTCCAGCCCCATGCTGCCGCCGCCCGGCTCCGCGGGACGCTCTGCGGACGGAGCCGCCCCGCGCGGGCAGGCGGGGGGCTGAGCCGTGCCGGCCGTGCCCTCCTACGGGCGGGGACGCGGCGGGCGGCCCCGAGGCGCCCGGCCCTGAAGGCCCCCCCCGCGGAGCCGGGCAGCGGCAGGAGGTGGTGCTGCCGTCCCGCGACGTGACGGGCTGCGCGGAGGCCGGGAAAGGAAATGCAGCTGGCACCGCGCGTAGGGCCGCTTTAGGAAAGGAGCCTTGTGGGGCGGTGACGGCGACTGAGATCCGAAGGGGGCCGGCTGTCACACCGCTGCCCTTCCAGCCCGGGTTCTGGCCCCGCAGCCGGCTGCTCGGTCGGCACGGGCACCACGCACACCGGCGACCCTCCTTTCCCCTTCTTTCTTATATAGGATTAATGTCAGCCCTGCGTAGCCCCGCAGCGTTTCGCAGCTCCGTGGCTCGAGGACAGTGAGTACAGACACGTCTGTGACATCGACAGGGGTTGAACTGATCATAGCAAAGTCACCCTCGGTCAGACCCAGCTCTGACACCTCCTTATCAGCGCTGCCCCGCAGCTCACGTGGCACACAGCCCTGCAATCCCACACAGCCCCGCAATCCCACACAGCCCTGCAGTCCCACACAGCACTTCTGTCACACACGGACCTTTGGGAACTCAAGGAAAGGGAGCTGGGGGACAGGTGCCGTTTCACTCATGCAAAAGTTTGGGAAAAGGTTTAGGTACCAAGCAGTGAGCTCTTCTCGGGTAAATCCCAAACTGGAATACTCTCCGTTATTTATTTTGCTCTGACAGTTCCTTATCAACAGAGATTACTGTTAGAACAACCATCTGTGAGTGACTTTTGACTGTGCTGTGTCCTGACACTGCGTCTGCAGTACCATGCACTGGTTTTTAAGAGGAATTCTTCAGAGTTAGAACCACACTATAAGATTTTGTTGTTGTTGTTCTTATCCTGACTAGCTTTGAGAAGGGCTCTCTACACTCTTTAGTCCCCATCCAGGATACGTTACCCTATAAAGCCTCTGCAAAATGAAGGCTTGTAGAGTACTGTGGCAGGTGCTTGAGTTCTATCAAACTCCTTCAGAGCAAGAAAATATTAAATGCTACCAGAGCAGGGAAATGAACGTGACTGTGCCTCTGCCCAGGTAAAAGAGTTTTGTGTTTAAAATGCTTGCAACCCCCTTCTCTAAACTAGAACTGAGAAGCGCTCTCTGATCCCGGTGGTAGGCAGCAGGACAAACACTGTAGGATCACTTTGCTTCTTTTTTGGTTCATTCTTCAGTGGAGCCTTTAGTCCTGACTGGGCTTCCAAGGGCTTTTCCCATGCCTTCTGGAAATGTTCTGTCTGTCTTTTTGCTGTTGCTGACTGCACAGCATCACCCACACAATCACAGAGATGTTTTTAATCTAGTCGTGTTATATGGCATTTTATTGCATTATTCTTCTTTAGGTTTCTAGCACAGTATTTTTTTTTTAGTTCCATCACCTCAAGGAAAGCTTTTTCGCCCTGTACTTGCAGGCACTGTCAATAAAAAACGCAGCAGATGTCTTGGGATGTGTATCTGTTTTCTGTAGATTCCTCTGATTTTGTGTATCCCAGCATGATTTTACTCTAGAAATCACAGGCTCTCACTTATTTCCACATAGCTCCTGGCAAGAATTGAGGAAAGTGAGTCAAAATGGCATGTTAAGCTGTCACAGGATGCGCAACCTCTCTCCATATTCAGCTCAAAGGGGAGCAGACAGTGAACATTGCACTGCAGCAGGCAAAACTCTTGCACAACCTGTTGGGTTTGGCAGATAGAGAGAGCTGCTCTTGGGGTTTTCAGCCTTGGATTTGGAACCAGCTAAGATCAAATGACACAAATTAACCAGATGGGGGAAGCGGAGGGACAGCAGAAGGCAAAGTACAAGGACGATATGCTTTATCTCCATGATAAAAACCAACAGCAAGGCAAGTCTGTAGCAAAAGAGAATAAAAAACTTTTTTACAAATGTTAACCATAAAAGGGGGTTAGGGGTAAGGAGAACGGCCATCCTTTGCTGGATGTGGCAGGGAACACCACCACTGAGGACAAGGAAAAGGTTGAGGTTCTCGATGCCTGTTTTACATCTGTCTTTAAAAATCAGATGGATTATTTTCAGGGTACTTTACTCCCTGACCTCAAAGTCTGGGATGGGGAGCAGAGTAAAACCCCACGGTTCAGATGGAAACAGAGACCTACTATTCCATCTGGACTGTCACAAGTCCATGGGACCAGATGGGCTCCACCTGAGGGTGCTGAGAGCTGGCAGAGGTGATTACCAAGCTGCTTTCCACCATCCATCAGCATTCCTGGTCAACTGGAGAGGTCCCAGAGCACTGGAGGCTTGCCGTTGTGACTCCCATCTACAAGAAGAGTCATAAGGAGCATACAGGGAGCCACAGGCCTGTCAGCCTCACCTCTGTGCCAAGGAAAGCTATGGAACAGATGATCTTGAGTGAGATCACACAGCATGTGCAAGACAACTAGGGGATCAGGCCCAGACAGCACAGGTTCACGAAAGGCAGATCACAAGTGGTGTCCCCTGGGGTCGGAACTGGGGCATGTCCTGTTTAGTACCTTTGTTGATGACCTGGATGAGGGGATTGAGTGAACCTACAGTAAGTTTGCAGATGATGCCAAACTGGGAGTTGATCTGCCTGGGAGTAGGATGGCCCTACAGAAGGATCTGGACAGGGTGGATTGCTGGGCTGAGGCCAATGGGATGAGCTTCAATAAGACCAAGTGCTGGTCCTGCATTTGCTTTGGCTCTCACAATGGTTTCACATGCACAAAGCCTAGTCTTGAGACTCTGCAGGGAAATATATATTAAGAAAGCTCTGCTAACAAGCTTCATTTGAGGACTGTCTGATTTGGCTCTTGGCCTTTGTTGTCTCTGGTCTGTTTCTACTTGAACAGAAGCTGAGGAATTTATTATTATCATAAACAGAAAGTTTGCTCTCTACAAAAAAAGGGAGAAGTTGGAGGAGTTTGAAGTTACACAAACAGTGCTAAAAGAGGTTGCAAGGAGGGACCTATTTTATTTAGAGTGAAGCCCAGCCAGCTGGATGTGGTAAGCTGCAGGTTGCAGAAGAAAGGAAGTGGTTGGCAGCATGGCATAAACAGCCTCTTTTCTTTAGGCTCAGAACTACAGGCAAGCTGCTACGGCAGAGCAGCACCTACAGCAGTTACAGGTCAGGTGGCAACAGTGCAAACACTCTCAGGGCAAGTTACTGAGTTTGCTGGGCAGAATGCAAGAAGATAATAAAAATTAGAGAAAACAAGTTATTCTCTGCTTGTGTCAGTGCAGAAAATGAAAGCGTTTTTTGGGCAAACTTTGCTTTGCTCACTAGTGACATTTAGGATATCCTGCAAGCTGGAAGAGCAGAGAGAGGATTGACCTGCCTGGCTTAGCTCATACCTGGGGGACACGCACTGCAAACTCTGGTTCGTGGTGCCCTTTTGATCTAGAGGGCAGGTTTACTCAGGAAACTCAAATAAACAGATGGCTTATTCCCCAAAACCGCAGGTGCAGCTGAAAGGATATGTGAGACTGTTTGAGCAGCTGTTTTCATCTTCTCTGAGCACTGCTGTCACTTGACTAGCATTGACATGGCAGACACCTCAAACCCACTGCACCACACAGCCATCACTGTGGGCAGTGTAACCACCTAGCACACCACAGACTTCCAGCTGAAACCAGTGTTAAACAAGGAGGAAAAAACAGTTATGCAAACTGGGAGGATTCATAGTTCTTACCTGGGAAATGGAAGGGCAGAAACTGGAAGAGGACAGGAAGGCGTGCAAGGGGAGGCCGTGAGGAGGTTATGAAAGGGAACCACACAGGTCTGTGTAAGGAATCCAGGGCTGCCCCTTTCTCAGTTCTGTTTACAAATCCAAACAGAGCTAGGACACTCTGCAAGTGTAACAATTAACTTTACTGGAGAATATGTCATGACAGAAGAGTAGTGGAACATGAACATTATTTCAGCATTAGTTAGCTTGCTTGCTAAGCACTGCACTTGCCCTGGGGCTGGCCACCAGCCCCCTCTGCCCCCAGTACAGCCCCAGCCACAGCAGCATTCAGCAGCGGGGAACCTGGTTTAAATGTCTTCCATAGAGCTGTCTGGGGAAAGGATGGAGCACCGATGTGGTTTGAGGAAGGCTCCCACGTGGTTGGCAGTGATTTCAGCTAGAAAACCAGCTTTTCTCAACTGTGCATGAGCTATGTAGACGATGGCATAAGGCTGTTGTTGAGGATCTTCGTTCACGGGCTTCACCCCATCCTTCTCAGACCTCACTCGAAAACTCGCACGGCTCCCTCGCTCCGAGGGTCCCTTTGCTCTGATCTATAACACAGCAGCCTCTAGTGGCCAGGAGCTCCCTTACCCTCTGGGCAGGGGAAGCAGCCAAGGGCTGCCTGCCTGCAGTCCAAGATGTAGTTTTCTTCCCTTCTAAGTTGCAAAAAGACTGTAATTGAAGCGCATTTTCTGGAATGCAGTTTTTTGTACTATTATTAGAGGAAATATTGAAATTTTACTAAAAGCTTACCCAAAATCATTCATTTTAATTGGAGTGTGACGCCTTTTGTTCTAATTGATTTGCTTTAAGAGCTGTTGCTTTAAGTGCTCCCGCAGCTCAGGTGCCATTTTCTCAGCAGCCACATTCTTGGCATTCAGGATCTCTTCGTGTGCTTCCTGGAAGCGCTGCTTCCCCACGGCTTCTTCCACCCTCCTGCGCCACTCCGCCAACTGGGGCCTCTCCTCAAAGAAGTTGTAGCCAGAAGCAACAGGCTGCAGAGAGAGCAACAGAACCCAGGCATCAGGCTTCCCTGCCAGCAGCCAGCCAGGGCTGGGAGCAGAACGAAGCACAGACGTGCCTCTCCTTTGAGGCAACAAAGTCATGGAGTTCATTAGGTGGAGTTCATCTCTGCTTGTTAACCTGCAGGAAGCAGTGCTGTCCCCTGGGAGCTGCAGTGGAAGCACAGCTGTGGCAGACCCCCAGACTGTGTAACGTGGAACACACAGGTCCACACACACCAACGTGCCTCTTCCAAATCCCTGTGATTTCTGTAGCTCATTGTATGACACTGAATCCTGGTACTGGGAGACAATCAAATAGATTTATTCTCCCCTAAAACAGAAAGTGACTTTATTTCTACACAGCGCAGACAGCGCTGCACTACTTCTGTCTAGGAAGGAGAGTGAGGAGTTCCTGCTCTGCTGCTCAAAAGACAAAGCGTGGTCAATGAGCACCTTACATTCAGCTGCCTCAAGACAAATGCAGTTCAGCTTCTCTCCTGAATTTGTGTTCTTTCAATCTCTCCTTCATCCTCCTCTGTCTACTTTTTTCCTTTTTTCCTGGAAGAAATACCAGAAAATGAAAATTTTGTCCAAACTTCTCTAAAGAGAAATTCCCTGGCAAACTCAATTCTGCTTGTGGTCAAAAAGGAACAAGTTTTAATTCCACTGAAGACTAAACTGCAGAGAGAAGGATCTGTCCTACAGAGATGCTGCTGCCCACAGCCCAGCTTGTAGATCTGACAGCACCGCGATCGAAGCTCACCTGCATGAGCTCCACCAGGGCCACGAGGTCTGCCAAGGAGATCTCACTGCCCGCAATGAAGGGCTTGCCCTGCAAGAACTTCTCCTCAAACTGATTCAGGACAACGTTCAGCTCCTCAATAGCATTTTCCAACTTCTCTGAAGGCAGTGGCTGGCCTGTAAGCAGAGGAATCAGCACCTGGCAGGGAAAAGAACAGACACTGCTTTTTGCACGTTTCCCTCTAAATGAAGTCCAGGCCTCAAACTGCCTTCTTCTAAGGATCCCCCAGTGTCCGTGCCCAAGAACAGCTGTTTGTTGAACAGAACAAGCTGTTGAACAGATGAATGTCAGTAACCATCCTTGCTTCCCATCTGTCTGTGTCTCCTCCCTAGAAAGTCTGAAATTTCAACCACGCGTGTCTTCTCTCAAGGGAGGGCTGCATCATCTTTAAACAGCTGCATTTTGTTTAACAGTGGGATGTTCCTTCTCTCCATGAAGCTGGGCGGAAGGCAGCGAGCTGTGCCTGCTGCTTGCTGTTCATACAGGGTACATTCACCATGCACACTGCTTGGTCTGCATTGACAAAGAATGAGCCCCACAGACTTCAGAGCTATGGCTGCAGCAGGAAGGATTCAGACTACTTCATTTGGGCAAAGATCTACTACCAACCAGCCGCATCAATCCCAGGTCTAGGTTTGTTCCTGTCACCCGGTTTGCATGCTCACTTAGAAAGGCCCAGCACACAGAGGGTTGCCGTTGCGCTCTCAGCTCTCAGTTTTTAGTGTACCTTACCTTACATAGGAACACCTTGCTCGCCTTCCCACGAATGTTGGCCTGCTGCCATGACAGGTACTCATCAACTCTGGCCTGTTTCTGCAGGTCAGAGGGATACCAGTGATCGGGAGTCTTGAATTTCCGGGCCAGGTACATGAGGATGGCAACGCTGGCAGAGAGCAGGACAGAGCAGTGAGTGGTAAGCTGAGATGAAGGCACCTCATCCTTTCTCCTTCTTCCGAATACTGCACTGCTGTGTGAGCAGCAGTACAAATGTAATTTAAGTCAGGTATAAGTGAGAATGTGTGATCATTGGGTGGTCACAGCACATGGCAGAGTTTGTGCTGGCTTGCTGGTTGCTCAGGGACAGCAATCGTCCATCGCGTCACCAGCAGGCCACCATTGCATGACCACCAACAGGCATCACCATTGCGTCTGCCTGGCTGTGCTACAGTTACCCTGCAGACATTTCAGAGCGTATATAAACCACAGAATGAGTTCATTCCAACTCAGAGCTTAGCGCTGCCAGGCCATCCTGCAGCAGGTGCCTTCTGACAGATCTACACATTGAACTACAGCCCCCAGCTGAAGGCAGAGAGCAGAGGACATAGGGGCAGGTGTCTGAGCTCAGAGACATTGCCTGCATGCAAGCTAGCTCCAAGCAGCAGCTCAGAGTTTTCATCAAGCATCAGGACAAACAGTGCTTCCGCAGAGGACTGAGCTTATTTGTGCCTTACCTCTCTGCCAAGGTGAAGGAACCATCCTTCAGTGCAGGCACTTTCATCAGCATGTTCACCTTCCTGAACTCCTCGGTCTTATGCTGCCCTGAGGGAAATGAGAGATTTTTTCTCATCAGTGGTGCTCAGCTCCCATCTGGGATCAGCTGAGGAGCCCGCGGGCAACACATGGACCATTTCTGGCTTGGACTGTACAAATACAGCCCTGTACCACTTATTGCCTGCATACCAGAACAACCTCTTGACAAAGGTTCAGAGTCCTTTCATACCAGCAATGTTTGTCAACTCAAGGCGGTATCAGCACAAAGTTTGTGCTTGGAGGCACCTGTCAGGGCACGAACACCAAGGAGCTTTGGGGGGAAGGGATCTCCGTACCACAAACACAGTGGGTTAACCACAGGGATAGTGAGAAAGAAAGCAATTTTTCCCTTTCTTTTTTTTTTTTTTTCTTTTTCCTGGAAAATGAGAAAATTCATATTAAACTCTCTTTATAGTCCTCTGTTTAGAGGAAACAAATTCCTATGATTCCATATAAAGCCATGAGAACTTTATTACAAACATATCAATAAGCTCTTTGCTCTTTGTGCGAGTTTTCTTTATCACAGATCAGAGCAAAAACAGACGTGAGTTTGCTTTTAAGCCGTCTTTTAGGTCTCCTCTGTAAAGCAGGCAGTGGGTAAAGCCAACCAGAGGTGTTTTGTTCCTTTGGAGTCCCGCTGTGCTTTGTTACCTCTGGACCCAAACCCAGATACCTTCATTCACGCCAGCCTCTTCCCAGCCCCTGGCTTCAGAGTCACACACGTGCATCTCCACAGTCACATCTCTCCAGTGCCTTTCCCCCTGTCATGCGTGAGTCACCTGGGAATCTTTGTGCCCCAGGAGATGCTCTGGAAAAGGTTTGTTTTCCCAGAACTTGGCAAACCCAATCTCTGAGTAATTCTCTTTCAATTTTTCCATTCCTCTTCATGCTCTCCCTGCTTGCCTGCCAGCCTCTTCTCATTTGGATCAACGTCTCACCACAACCATTCGTTGGCAACAAGGGAAAAGACACCGTATGGGCTTTTACCCCAGCTGCAATCAGCCTCTACTGAGACAGGCTGTTAAGAGGAAAGCAGCATCAAGTGCATTCGGTGAGCAGCCAAGGCACGAGGGGAACACCCAGAGCAGAAACCACAACACCCAGAGGTTTTTCTCATAACAAGCTGGAGCCTCTCTTGTTTCTCTATCAGTTTGAGCCTCGTAAACCTTCTCATCTTGCATTTTAAGCCCAATACATTCACTGAATTTCACAACAGACCACTAGAAAGGCTGAAAGGCAGTTTTTACCAGCAAAGGAAAGAGATACAGATCTCCAGACGTCCTCTGATGAAAACATACGATACCTCTCTGTGGGGCTCCTACCCTCCGTCAGTTGGTTCTGGAACAAACAAAAGCCCTTCTCCCTTCTGCAGCCCTCAGCTTTCCCATTCTGGCTGCTGCACTTCACCCTCCCCTGCCTTTGCCATCTCCCAGTGCTGTCAGCATGACTTCACCCCACTGTGCCCCACTGCTACACCCAGAGGAGAACCACACTGTGCTGCAGCACGGAGCTCCCATTACTTGAAAGGGGCGAAGCCCACGCTGCTGGGTGCACTTCCATCTCCTTTTGGCCGGCACCCCGAGGAGCCTTACTTCTCAGAACGACGTCTCTTTTCCTGTCCCCCATTTTCTGATGGACTGTTTTCAAAGAGCTCGCACACAGCTCTGCAGAACCTCAGCACGAGGTGGGGACGAGGGCGGCAGCACCGCCCGGTAACAACCGGAGTTTCCACACTGGACGCGAATCCCCCGCCCGCTGCTACCGGGGGGCAGCGGCCCCTTCCCATCCCCGCTCACCCTTCATCAGCTCCACCCGTTTGAACTCGAACGGGATGTTGTTGCAGCGGGCGAAGAGGAAAACTGCCCGGCAAGGCTGCGAGAGCAGATCGAGGTACAGCTCCAGCCCCATGCTGCCGCTGCCTCGCTGCCGTCCCCTCCGTTCTGTCCCGCAGACGCCGGCACGGGGCGGGGCGGCACCGCGGAGGAGGACCCGGAGCTCCCGCCCCGTTCCCGACCGGCTGCGCTCCGCACCGCCCGAAGCGAAGCCATGATACAGCCGCTCCCCAGGACCCACAGGGCGAAGTTCTTCAACGTGTCATCAGGACCTGGTTCGGCTTAATCACTGTTCTTAATCACTGAATGATAAGACATGAAGGCAGTTGATTAATGGGATGCTGTGCCCGGGCGAGTTCGCTCATGGGAACTCGCAGTTCTGGTGTAGGGGGTTGCACACATCTCCTCCATGACTAAGCAAAACCAACTTGACAGGCAGGTACAGCACCCGAGCAGCAGGACAGATGCAGGCTTGGCTGCTGTGACAGTCACATGTTGCTCCTGCTGTGCTTACAATTACTTACTTTCCAATACCCTCCCTTTTATTTTTCCTTCATCAATGTATTGCCAACGATGGTGTTCATTTACATTGTTTTACAAAACAACAAAAGCCAGAGCTGGATCTCTTCCTGCAGGTCTCCAAGGGCAGGTGGAGGCTACAACCACAGGGCAGTTGTTAGTCAGGGGCTGAAAATACCAGAGGTAAATATAGAATTAAGGCTTTTAAATTCATAGTAGACATGAGATGTTTTAGTCTGCGTTAACAGTAACACTTAGCACAGCTGCTGCTACCCCTTGTACTGAAAGGAAGGAAACAATGCAGGCAAGGAAATAACAAAAAGACACAGCAATACAACCAAAAATCCACTGTCATCACCTCTGTATTTCAGAAACTTTAGGATAGTATATATAAAATCTTTTTAAAATATACTATGTCTATTTATTTAAAAGTTGCAGTTCATTCAATCTACAACAGTTCTTCAAACAGGATTCTGCTCCAGGCACTGCACTGCATGCATTCTTATGCTTTCATGAGGATGCAGCTCCTTGCACAACATGGCAGAACTGAGCTGTCCAATTTCAGAGGCAAAAAAGGCACAACCCACACATCTGGTGACCAGCAGCTCCATCAGACCCGTGACCAAGAAGTGGACATGGCTCTTCTGTTCACTGGAGGCAGTTGTCAATATGCCAGCTGGGCAATGATGCAAAATCCTCTTCAAAAACAATTGCATTTGCTTCTTGAAAGCCAGTAAATTAAGCCTGTTTCCTGTGTCCTCCAAACGAGAATGAGGCATGTAACAGCTGATTTTAGACAAGATAAGCTTGAGGAGATGAGCACCGAGCTCAGGAACCACATCTCCTTGTTACTGTGCTGGTTATCTTCCGTGCCATGAAGCACAGCCACCTCTGCCTGCGTTCATTCAGACTCGTTTCTGTGCTCGCTCGACCTGTTCAAAATTAAAGTTGAGAAGATGACTGGAAATGTTCCTGCCCAGGGCCATGCAGAAGGGACTTTGGGCAGCAAAGTAACAGTATCACGATCTGTTCTGCTCTGCCCCTAATAATCCAAATCTGCAACTCAAAATCGTAATTCTTCAAGAACAAAAGTTTGTCAAGTCCTCAAAGAAGAGAGCAGAACACTTACACAAATCACACAGCACAAAACTATCCGTTACAGTTCCCTTGTCCACCAACGTGGCAAGTTAAGTGCTATCCTGCTTCTGTCCAAAAGCTCTCAACTTTCCTACTGGTGTGTAAAGGTCTGCAGAAAATGCTTTCCTTCACACCCAAACAGCTATGTCTCAGTCCAGGAGAAGGCTTCTGGACACTAATACTTGTGCTTGTCATCACTTGCAAGGAACTGTAAACTGTAGCTTTAAATTTTTAATTTCCTTCCCCATTTTCTGCTGTTCTTCCCTCTCTCAGTTACCTTGACTGTCCTCTCTAGTTTAGACAGAGCCTCCTCATATTGCTGCACCAGTGGCTTTAACGACTTGCCCTTGACCAAGTGCTGCTTTATGTCTGGAATGCCAGCATCCTTCAACATCTGCCGAAACCTGCGTTCCTGCACAACAAAACAGACACAGCAGAAAAAGAAGTGAGTGCCTCCCGTTTGCAGGGGGCAGCCTGCTGTCTCTCAGCTGGAAAATGAGCACATTTTGGGATTTTCTGCCCCGTCACAGAGTGACTGAATAAAGATTTTCCAAGTACAAAACAGCTGACTGGAGAAGGTGAAAAGTAACATGAACATTTCCATTTCAAATGAATCTCACACCGATGACATACCTGGATTCTGAGGACCATGCTGAAAGCTAAGCCTGCTTTCCCTGCACGAGCTGTTCTTCCAACACTGAAATCAGGAGAAGGAACATCAGGTCAGTTCACTCATGCAGCAGTCACTGCCACATCTGCTTCAGGAGCCTGACTGTGAAACTCTCCAGATTTAGGAGAAAGTCTGGATGTTTATGTTTAACAGGGCTAGCCATGTGCTACAAAGGATGAACTTTTCCAGAGTCCATTTACAGCTGCTGAACCTCTGCAGTGTTCTGAGCCTCTGGAAACCCAACCTGACGTTCTTCAGGACAATGTTTCTAGCTCCTATAAAACACATTTTATATAACAGGGTGCTAGATTGCTGTTTTAATACTACATTGCTCTCATGATGCCATGAATTAGCTTCTGATTTAAGAAATTAGCTCTACACTGAAGTTAAAAGGAGTTTCAGCTCTGGATTTTTTTAAGTGCATGTCGCTTATACTAAGTATTTCAGAGAGCACCAGGCTCCAGCATCTCCCTTTTGCCCCTGCTTTGTCTTACCGGTGAATGTAAGTCCTGATGAACTGAGGTGTGTCATAGTTTATTACACAGTTCACTCCTTTAATGTCAATCCCTCGAGCAGTGGCATCTGTGCTGATTAACCTGGTTTTGAATGTACATACAGTTATTTTCAGGTAGCATCTCTGCCATTCCACAAACACATAGAAAACAGCTGAACACAGCACAGCTACTGCTAATCTCTGTTAAAACTGGGCACTCAACTTTTCTGAGCACTAAGCATTCAAGCAGCACTGTAAGTCACAGGGTGTAACTGGCATTAGCTGCCTAAGTGCCACTACAGTTACATATGAAAAGCTATAAAGCATTTCCAGGCTCTCCAAGCCTGCAGCACTGAGCCAGACAGCTGCCAGCACACCACAGGTTACAAACCTGTAAACATCTGAGCATTCCTTAAAGGTACTGAATGCAGACAGTGAGGTGTCTGCCAGTAATCAAGGAAGAATTTAAATACCAGGTTTGGACAAAAAGCAAATCCAAAAAATAAACATTTACCTTTTTTTGGGGGACATTTCACAGATGCAATCCCAATACAGTTATGAACATCACAAAGTGAATCAAAATTATGGATAGAAATGGATAGCATGGATAGTAAACCCAGCTGCCAATCTGAGCCAGGTCCCACGTTTTTCAACTCATTCCTGCACGCTGTTTTACAGGGGAGCCCTGTTGAAATATCCTCTTAATTCTGACTAGTTTTACACTAGAAATAGTGTATGTCCTGACACTTACAGGAAACTCATTTAAGATACTCACAGTTGTATCTTTCCTTGTTCAAATTCCTTCATGGTTCTCTGTCTCTCGTTTGGAGCTAACCGAGAGGAAAACTCAGCCACAGTGATTCCACCAAAAGCTTGAACAAGCAGGAACAATCTGCAGGTGGATGGGACAGAAACCATCACCTCACCACTTCACTGTAACACCACCGTGGCCGCTATCTGCCAAATGGCCTCAGGAATATATTCACCTGTGGGAAGCCTCTCTGGAGTTGGTAAAACACAACACACGGGTGAACTTCTTTGTCAGCATGAAGTGCAAGAGGAGCAACGGCTTGGAATTCAGGTCACAAGGCACGTAACTTTGCTGCAGTCATCAGGGAAGAAGTTCAGAGACAAATTAGTTCTTGCCAGGGCTTTCTTCCCTGAAACTTACTACCTGTCCATAACCTACATAGACTTGGATGTTTTGCAACAAAACCAGTTCCCACAGTGCCACCCCCGATTTAGAACAAGTCACAGCAACACAGCATCAGGCAGAGGCAGGAGACCTATGTTGTTCTCTCACTTCTCTGTGGCAAGTAACAACACACACTGCCTTCTGGTCTACAGATGGATTTGTATTCACATGCCTTAGAATGCATGTGTAAAATACAACTTGAGACGGGCAGTTGAGAAGTGTACATTGCTGCTCATCTCCACTCCCTTTTGCAAGCAAGTTTAATTTGGTATGAAGAGTTTAATTTTAAAGAATTCTGGTCCTAACCAAACAAACAGTAATGAGAAAACAGGTGAGTGAAGGCAGAGCTCTTGGAGTCACAAAAACTCCCAAAGCCACTTTCTCTCAGCATCTCTGTAACACAAGACATTGAAGGAAAGGTGTATTTGTTCATAGGCTACAAACATCACTAGATATCCCAGAGTTAAACTAATCTCAAAGTCTAATTTACTCAAACACCTTCTTTTTTCCAACAGCTACCAAATAGGTTACTTCTACATTTGCAAGAGAATTCATATCATACCGACAGCCCCTCAGGCAGGGTGTACTTCTCTTCAGAATCCTGTTCGGTCTCTGTTCCATCTCTGAGTGTTTTTTTCTCAGAGTAGACAGACGTGAAGAGGCGAGGCTGAAACAAGCCCAACTGCTGCAGCTTCTCTGGGTCCTGGGTCAGCGTAGCTGAAAACAGCAGTTTCTGTAAGGGTATCTGAGGGTAACAGCAGCTGAAATGAACAGCACATGGAAACTGAACTCTGAGGATAGGGCAAAGGAATTCCCCACCACGTGCCTTCAGATGAACTCTTTTTGACACCCATTTCCCACACTGGTAAGATCTTTCCCACTCTCCTTTAACAGTGGAGCTCACAGATGGAACTGGATCAGCATTCTCAACTCAACTGCTCAACCCTCATTTGTTACCTTGTGCCCCAGTCACCCCTGCCCCAATCCGAGTCACTTCCTTCCTTTGCTGCTGATCTCGGTTTCTGATGCACCTCTGCCATGCTATTTGAAAAGAGCAGCTGCAGATGCACAGTTCAGCACTTTCCTTCAAATTACTCAAGTATGTCAGAGGGCAGTGCTATTGTTTGCTGTGTAAATGATTCAGAGACTTGCACTATTTGTGTATTCTTTGGATGCTGCTTTAGTCTAGTTAAGGAACGCCTGAAGAAGACAATACTTAGATTTCAGCCTAAAAGACATCCTTTAATACCAGCTGTTCACTGCCTGCTTTTTCAAGCTTTGAAGAAGTAGCTGCCTCACTTTGGCAGACAATTCTCTGAATATCCTTGCAAACAGCTCAAACAAATGCATTTTGCAGCTTACCCAGCTGCTGTTACAGGCCCTGGTTTGGTCCTCTGAAAAAGTGTACTGGAACCAGCTTCATTTTCTGCTTGGAATGCAGCTTTGACAACTTGGTTCAGCCAATTCTGGTGCATGTCATCAATCATACGGTCAGCTTCGTCTATGATCTGTAGCCACAGACAAAAAAACTACATGTTAAACACTGTCTTGAACGTGGCAGCTCATTTATTTATTTAAATCTATAACAGTGAGCCAGAATCCAAGACGTATAAAAGCTTCTCGTCAACAGAAACGCTTACTTTGCCCATCTTTTCTCAAATGAAGGCACACATTTCTATCCCCAAACAGAATTCTGCTTTCATTTCAGTTGCTCAGAAGCCAACCAGGCACTCAAACTACACACAAGTTCATTTGCACTTTTGCAAATACATGTTTGCATTTAAGAGAAAATACTTCAAACCCTAATTAAGATGGAAGCCATGTCTCTATACAGATTCCAATATGGTGGAATTAACTTGAAACCCTGATAATTAACCCTGGAAAAAAAAAAACAAAAACACCACCACACACTATTTTTTGTGTCTGCAAGCGTAAGAAAGTGTCACAAGTGGGAACAGAACTTCTCATCTTAAGGCAGCTGCATGAACTGCCTAAAGCACGAACCAAGTACACACAACAGTTCCAACACAGATACATTTATGCCCTGTGCAAGAACAAAGCAAGAATTACAGAGCCAACAGCCCCTGCTCTGCAATGGGAGACGTGTGGAGGTGACTCACCAGGAAGCGAAGCTGCGTCAGGCTGAACCCTGGGGTCTTGCTGATGTGATCTGCGAGCCGCCCTGGTGTGGCCACAATAATATCAGCAAGGCTGCAGTAGCCTGTCACCCTGCAAGAACAAGCTGCTCATCAGTCAGTTGCTCCCACGCTGTACAGCATGTATCAGAGATCTTTGGTAAGAAGGCCCGAAGATTTTCCACGTGTTTTTTCATTTATAGTAATTTTAGAATTGCAATTCAAATATCCAATTTACCAGCAAACAAAAGCAATACTGGGCACTAAATCCTGCTCTCCATTGTATCCCGTTTAAACAAAAAGTAACATTCTTGGATGCAAGTCAGAAAAGAACACTTAAGGAAAGCTGCAGCAAAAAGCAGTCAGTCAGTTGTTTCTGTGGGCACACAGTGTTTCGTTCTACTCAGGTAGTGAAGAGCCCTAAAAATCTGAAAATGTAACAACTGCAAGAAAGAACTGAAGCAGGCACCTGGGAAAAAAACAAAAACAACCTCTAGCACATAAACCCACTATCCAAAATCTTCTCGCACGATGGTGCAATACAACAGTTTGTATTTTGACCTCTGCTTGTGCAGATTAGAGTTTACAACCTCTATAAACCTTATCAAAAGACCACAACCTACTTTTTCTGGACGAGCATTTCTTGCTCCTTTGCGAAAGATTTCTGGCCAGTAATCAATACAACCTTCAGACCTGTCCCATCGGTGTAAATGTTGAACACTTTACTCACCTGTAAAGAAACGGGCTTTGTTAGCTGCAAGAAAATCAGTGATACTGATACTTTTCATTAACAATCCCACTGACAGAGCATTCAGCCTGCTTTCCTGAACAGCCATGCAAATATTTACTGCGTCAGCCCTTCTTTCAGCACAGTTCTGCTCAGCAAGAAAGGTGAAGAGCTACTTACCTGTTGAGCCAGTTCCTTGGTGGGCAGAACAACCAGAGCTCGCACTTGGCAAACTACCCTATCCAGCAGAACCTGTAAAAACAAAGGTCAAATGAGGCCCTAACACAACGGGGTGAGAAGGAGTTTCTTTAAACTAATGAGAAGAGAGAGGCTTCACACGTCCTCCCAGAGTTTTACATTTCTGTTTTATTCCCTTTCAACTCCTCGTGTTTTGTCAGCTGTCTGCAAAACAGCAGTGAGCACAAGTGGGTTCATGTAGACCCTCCAGACAGCTCTGAGCAAAAAATCCCTGCTGATTGGCATTCACAAGTTTCTCAGCTTTCTCATCTACTTTTAAGTTCAAGTTTTGCCTGAACAAAAGCAACTCCACGTTTTCCCTACAGGTATTTTGCTGGTAGTAAAAACTCACCTGCACTATTGGGATGACAAAAGACAGGGTTTTTCCACTGCCAGTGGGTGCTGAGACACAGATGTCCCTGGGGCGGTATCCTCCCTGCCCCATCAAATACCCATTGGATGCACTCTGCAGAACAGCAGGTATCACCTCTGCCTGAACTGAACAGAAATGGAAACACACATTACTTGCAGAGTTAATTAACTAGACTAAGACTGGTTTATCTAGGAAATCCACGTTGTATACAACAAATCTGTGTCCACATCTGTACCACTGCTGCTGCAGGCGTAAGACTAGAAGAAGTAAAACCAGTACAGATACTGTCTGCTTTTTCCTCCAGGTCTTTTTCATTTGTGAGCTTAGCACTGGGCACAGAGATTTCCTTCCCCAAGAATTCAGCTATTTCTTATGCTCAGAATAGATGTTACTCTGTCAAATACTGTTTTCAACACATGCCCATATTGTTGTATTCATATTGGGATGGTACTGGGCAGACTTAAAACCCACGGATACTTGTCTGTAAGCATCCTTTTTTTTTTGAAGTACACAAAATATGCATCAAGGAAAATCAGCATTACCTGCCAAGGAGCAAAACAAACACTTTCCATAGGCTTTGAAGTCATTCAAGTTTGCTGCAAGAGGGTGCTACAAGAAAGTTTGCTGCAAGAGAGTTTGCTACAAGGACTGAAACAAACAGTCCTGTAAAAACAACAGCTATGACTGCCAGCTGTGAACTCTTCTTATTTCCCTGCCTCACAACTTGTCCTCACAAACCAGCAATCCTGTTTCATCTGTGAGGTTTAGCAGCCAGGGAACTAAGTAGAAGTGGAATAACAAAAGCAAGCTCTCCCTCTTTCGGCTTCTGTGAGGTATTGCTTCAAAACATTTTGTGTAGTTGCATTTATGACTAGATTACTAGTCATACTAGTAATTATAAAATGTATATAAAATACTAGTAATTACCTCAATTACTAGAACACACACCTCATGAAAACAGAGGTTAAAAACTGAATTCATTAATGCATTAAGCTTGCTTTTGTTTCATGCTTCATCTCATTGAGTACACAAATCATAGAGCAAGAGTGAAGGAAATATGTAAACAAATTTAGAGAAAGAAGAGCACTAACAAGGTACCTGGAAAAAAGGACTCTATTCCATTCATTTGCAGCTTTTTCAACAGCTTGGGGTGAATTCCTGGGACATCTCTGATTGGAATTAGATTCTCTTTAATACGTTTTTGCACTAGCTTGGGTTGAGCAAGCCAGTGTGGCAAGAAGGGCTGTACCTGAGGTGAGAGAAAAAGAGAGTAGCAAGGTGCTTTTTGCCACCGAAAAGACAAAGCTATATACTAAATACATGCTAATAAGGCACCTTTTCATTCCCAGCTATCATCAAAATTCAGTCAAGGCAATTACCTTCTGCACAGGCTTTTTATCATAATCTCCAAGAACTGCCAGGCTGGAAGGTGGTGGTTGTGCTTCTTCCCCCAAGGCTGCCGAGGGCAGCTCCTCCTCTGCGCTTTGGTTTCCTTCAGCTCCTTCACTGCTCTCTTTCTTCCTTGCCCCTTCAGATCCCTCATCTCTCTTTTTCCTTTTAGAGGATTTTTTTTTAAGGTTGCTCCTGTCTTCCTGCTGTTCGGTGTCTCCTTCAGAATCTAGGTAACAGCAACGCAGAGCTATAGATCACAACGTGCCACAGAAAAGGGATACGGGGAATGTTTTCCATCACAGAACTTAACCAAGCTTATCCCCGAATTCAAGCACAAGAGCCAAACGTTGCTTTGGTGCTACGGGGGCAGCTGAGCACCGTGCTGACACGCAGCCCTCTTTCCCTTACACTGTACTGGTCCCCGATGTTTGCAATATCGGGTTTTCTGCTAGAAAAGGAATTGCTCAGGGAGCAGATGGCGGTGAGGGCGGCAGTGTCACCGTTACCTGCCCCAGGGCCCGGCTCTCTCTCTCTCTTCCTCTTCAGTACCGCACTGCCGCCCTCGCATTCCTTCCTCAGCCCTTCTCGGCCCTGCGCGGCGCCTTCTACGTTTCTCTTCCCCTCCGCGGCTCCATCCTCCGGCCCCGCTCCGCCGAGCTCCCGCTGCCGCCTCAGCTGCCGGGCCTTCGCCTGCTCACGGAGCCGCTCCAGCAGGGTCCGAGCCCGCTCCTCCTGCGCCTCGTGGTTCGCATCCTCCTCCTCCTCTCCGACGTACCTGAAACGGCCGACAAGCAGCCCGTCACGCACGGCCGCCACGCACGGCCGCAGCCCCGCGCCGCGCCGCCCACCTGCTGACCGCGAACAGCGCCATGGCCGCCTGAGGGGGGCGCGCTGTGATGACGTCACGGTCTCGCGCGACGGAAGACTCCAGAAAGGCGGGAGAGGGCGCCGAGGAGTCGGGAACGCCTGCGCCCTGAGGGGAGGTGGAGCCAAGATGGCGGCCGAGGGGATCGTCGAAGCCGTGAGCCCGGCGCGGCGCTGGCTGCATGTCTAGGGCAACAGAGGTCTAAGCGCACCTATGGAGCACAGTGAGGTAGAGACGGCCCAGTGGCACTGCTGCACTCCCATGCAGCATAACTGTGAAGTGCCAGCTCCTACACATGGAAACAAATCAAAATCCTCCATTTGTTTTAACAACCACAGCAATCACCCAGCCCCATCCACAACTGAAGGCCACACCAGACAGCTTATTTCTAAATCTTTATTTGTTTTCTACACAGAGAAAACAGAGGAATGTTGAAGCAGCAGTACTGAAACACACTAACGAGGAGCCATCCATCCGTGAGTGCACACAAGTAGCACAGGGCCGGCTGTGTGGTGGTCTCTAACGGGCAGCATGAGGGAAGGAATGGGAGCAGCCTTTGGGCACAGGAGGGAGAGCTCTATGCAAAGGTGGAACCGTTCCAGCCCACGTTGGCAGCGTTTATGTCGAAGTAGTTGATGTACACCCTGCAGAAGAGGCACAGGAATACACAAAAGATGAGTTATTAGCTAGTTTCTGTAAGCAATGAGTGAGACAAGGCAACAGGATAGAGGAGAGTGCTCTCCTGCCTCCCAGAAACAAGTTTTTACTGAAACCCATTTAACATTGTGTGATAACCTCCATCAGCTGATACTCCTGGAGCCTCTGGAACCATTCTTTCTATCCAATACAAGCTTTTCAGTCAGGAAGAACTCGGGCACCTTTTGGGTAGCAGCCTGTCCACAATTCCAGAGACCAACCTCTTGTTTCAGAGCACTGCAGTCTCACACAGCAGACCAACACACAGCCCAGAGGCTCTGTGCTTCTTCCTTCCAACACGTGGATGTGAGGCAGCAGGCTGGTTCTGCCTATCACTGCTGCACGTGGGCACTCCCCAAAGCTCCACCTGTGCATGAACTGTCTGCAGCCTGCTAATTCCTACTTGCCTGTGAGCTCCAGCCTACTACTGCTTCTCCCTCGTGCTTTCAGGCCCCACCATGAGGAAACATCAGACCCCAGGAGTGAATGAATCTACGCTGTGGACTCTGCCAACGCTCAGGTGTTCTTTCCTACAAGGCTTTCTGGAGAACTTCCAAGGGAAAGATGCAGGCAACAAACTTTAAAACAGACATGAAGAGCTACAAGAGGTTACTTTGTGTTCTCCTAAGCACTTATTGCTGGCTCTTTATGTTTTCAAATGAAGTTTCCAAAGCAACAGATGAAAAGGACCACATCCCAACCCTACCTGTCTGCAGATACGTGCAAGTGCTTTGCAATCATATCGCACAGCAGCTTGGTGTAGGTCTTGTTCTGCTGCCCTCCGATTTTGCCAATGCTGTAGAGGCTGCAGAGAGCGCAGGGATCCGTGGAGCCCCCAAAGGACATCATCTGATCAGGTACGATGTGCACAGCTATGTACTGCAATGAACAAAGCGGGCAGAGGGTTAATAACGCGCAGCCCTCTTTGCAGGTAGAGCACTTAACAGCACGGAGCGTTATGCAATAGCGCCGTGTCCTTTCTGAGCCCGCGGCGAAGCACAGCGCGAGTCGCACCGACCCACGAGCCGGGCTCTGAGGCCGGGGGAGGGCGAAGGCTGCGTTCGGACCGCGGCCACGCGGCGGAGATGGAGGCCGGAGGGCCGGGCCGGCTCCGCAGCTCCCAGCGCGGCCCATCGCCGCGGGGCAGCACTGCCGGGCTGCGATTGCCCGGCCCGCGACGCTCGGCTCGCAGCCCCCGCGTAGCGCTCCCACCCCCCCATTCGTTCCCCACTCATTTCCCATTCATCCCCACGCGGCCCCGAGGAGCGGCCCCGCGCGTAGCGCTCCCCGCCCGCCCCCCGGGCCTCACCTGCGCGGGTTTGCCGGTAGCCTTGGCCAGCTGTTGGGTGAGCTCGCCCAGCAGGCTGTCGGGCACGGCGTCCTTGCAGACGTTGGTGTGGATGGTGAACATGGGCATGGCGGCGGCGAGGGGCTGCGGGCTGAGAGGAGTGAAGGAACCGCGAGAGATGGCGGGGCTCGCAGTGCACGCGGGGCTGCGCCGAGCCGGCCTTAAAGGGGCCGCGCCCTGCGGGGTGGGGATCGGGGCGGTGCCTCCGCGGGGCCGCGCACCGAACAGCTCCGCTGTGCCAGGGCCCGGCCGGAGCGCGGCTGCTGCTTTCTGCCGTTATTCCTGCTCGGTGTTACGACGGCGAGCATATTTAGAGCGTGCGCTACTCACTGCACGCTGGAGTTGGGCCCTGCTGCTCCGGGCGGCTCGCACACAGCCTTCACGCGCACGTGTGGGGCTGCCGTCCAGGATTCTGCAGAATGGGGAGACCAGCCCTGATTGATGCATGATGCATTTTTTTCCTTTTGACAAATCAAGTAATTCGTGCTTTTGGTTTTTTTTTTTTTTAATTAAACGGTGTGCATAACTTTAATAACACGTGAGGGAAAACTTGACTTGTGAGCATGATAATCTGTGATGTTCTTCAGTCAAATTGAAAGCGATCTCTAACTCCTCGTTTCCATCTTCACACCATATTTTTCCACTGGAAAAAAAAAAAAAAAAGCAGAAAGGATTTTTTTTTTTAGCGATGACACGGTGTGAATCCATTGGGCGGCGAGAGGCAGCCTGAGCCGAGCCTGCCGCTGAGCCCTGTGATGCTGTGATGCGGCGCACGTAGGCTGCGGAGGGCACCCGGCACTGCCTGAGCTGCTCGGAGTGACTCACGGGAAGGCAGAGGGGAAATCAGGGCTCTGCACCGACTGTTTCCAGGCAGGAATCAGACGCATGAACTTTCAGCAAAGTTTTACTGCGTGTGCTAGAGAGCTTGACCGTCCATCTGCATGGCACATGTGAGCACACGCAGCCCCCGAGCAAGGAGCGGAGGATGCCGTTTGAAGCTGCAGGGCTGACACGCAGCAGTCCCGGCTCACACAATAGAGAGGCACCTGCAGTTCCATGCTGTTTTATCCCTTTGACTCTTAGTATTTTCATGGCTTCTAAAAATGAAGGTAAAATATTTTACAGAAGTGCATCAAACAGCTTTCTGATGATGTGCTACAGTCACACCAAGAAAGGCGAAAGGAAAGGCTTTTAGGTTCCTTATTAGAGAGTGCAAAGCAAGACTGGTAACAAGTAGGGGTGGTCTTGATGATACTTTGTCTCGGAGTTACCTTAGGAAGGTACAGTTCAGTGTGTGGATGCTCTGAAAACTACCCAGAAGGCCTGTAGCACAGAAAGGCTTCCAAAGAGATGTCGGGCGGGATAAGGAGCAGAGAGCATCAGGAAACAGAGGTGTCATTCTTTGAGCTGGTGGCTCTAAGAAGGTGGCAGACTGATTTCTGGAGAAGGGAGCAGCCTCCTCAGCTGGAGGACTGCTGTGTTTGGAGGCTGCATACCCACTGTGAGAGCACATCTACCTGCCATCATGCCTTGCTTTCTCAGTGTTCAGCACTGCCAGGCTGTGAGCAGGAATGAACCATGTTTCATAAGATACACTGTATTTAGGTTTGAGGAAACACCTTGCTTCCTTGGTTGCGCTGCTTTGATTCGCTGACCAGTTGCCATATGTTATCCCCAGAAACCTCTTCTTGCAGGTTGAGGCACAGGCGTTCAGTTAGAAGCTGTTGTCTGCAAAGCAAGGCTGTGATGGGCAAAACGGGATGTTCACAATAGTGCTTAAAATAAGGGTGAGAGGGGGTTGTAATTCCAGAAAAAAAAAAACCAAAAATCAGATGTGTTGTGATCTTTTTATTTTTTATTTTTAATATTAGCATTGTTTTTAAAAGAGATTCAGGAAACAGATCTGTATTCAATCTGTTTTACTTTGGAAGCAAATTATATTATCTGACCTAGGGCTTGAATAATACATTTTATATGGAAATCTTCCTTTCGTAATTCACCACTTTGACATCTGGGAATGGCTCGCTGTGCATCTCCCTCATTTTGAGCTGTGCTCTAATCTTCATGTCATTGCAAATTGTTCTGTGGGTGAAAAAGGGAGGGCAGAACAGTGGACAGTGGGTTTTTCCACTTGCTGCCTCTGCCTGGTCTGAGCTCGGGGACACACTTGGAGCACAAGTGTTTCTGCAAAGCAGCTACATGTTCATGGAGTTACAACTAAGGTGGACCTGGGCTGCAGTCCAGCTGTTTTAAGTAAAAGGCCTTCATTCTTGTGAAGGAAGACCCATAGAGCACACCAATAGCTTCCTGACTTACATTTAAATACATTCTGAAATCAGGTCAAGATTGATGTGTTTAAGCTTGGCTGGGCTGCCCAGCATGAATGGGGCAAAGGCATACCTACATGGAGAGCTTGTCTTCAAACAGAAGATTGCACTGTTTTAAAGAGAAGCTTCTATTAGGAATATCTGAGAAAGCTCCCTCTCATCTCAGCCATATCTCCACAATAATATGAGATTCTCCACTCAGGTTCCCACTGGATTTCTACCTTTACTTAGGCAGCAGACAAGATGTTAGAACAGCAGGGTGTAGCACTGTTGCTTTTTACCTTTGTGCCAATTGCAGATAACATGAGCAGAGCTTCAGTATTCAGAAACCTGGTGAGTGTTAAAGGCTAAGCTGTCACCACCTCAGAACACCTCAACCAAAGGTGGTGGTGTTCCAGCTCACATTGCCAGCACTGATCTCAAAGAAGCTGACAAAGCCTGAAGGAGAAGACAGATGCTGTTGGCTGCTGGGAGGAGAGTGCAGCAGGAACCCAGAGCTCTGTTCTTCTCAGGGCTGCACTACCTCTCTGCAACTTACATGCTTCTTACTGCAGATTCTGCAAGGTGCACTCAGGTGTTGCTCCCCCTAAATACCTTGTCTTCTTGCATTCTGGAGCTGGTGTTGTTTTTCTGCTTCTTGTTTTAAGGTGATCTCAGGATGCTGTATTTAAAAGAGTCTGCTCTGCAGCAGACTGGTGTACATGTTCAGAAGAAGCACTAGAAATGCTTCTGTTCAAATCAAAGCTTTTTTTTAGTAGTCCTCCATCTGTACCCCACAGACAGTGGTGAGGTATTGGTCCGTATTACTCAAATCAATTTAACAACATGGAGTTATTGCATCTGTCCCTGGGCTTGCACACACATGAGATCTGTGGTATGTATGGTGACTCAGCCTCTATTATTTTAACCAAGACAGATTTTACTGCCTTTGGACTTGGCAGCTCCTTTCCTCTTTTTAACTGGAGAGCTGCCCTGCTCATTGGGCATTCAGCATCTTTAAGCCGAATGTGAACAGAAAAACACTGGACTGCAAGTTTGGGATTAATAGGTTTAACAATCTGTGGAAAGCCATGTCAGACAAGTGAGCTCACCTGTCAGATGGTATTTTCAGCTGTTTGTTTAGCAGGTGACAAAGCAAGTTAGAGTAGACTTTGTTCTCCTGCTCTCCTGTCTTCCCAGTGTAAAGAAAGCATGTAGCACAAAGGTCTGTGAAGCCAGTAAAGGACATCTCCAAATCAGGAGAGACCTGTATTTCTAGGTACTGCTGGAAGAAAGAGTATTATCCTCCTTTGCCACGTTTGGGAAAGCTAAAAAATCCCAGAAGATATCTGCATACCTGAACTGCTAGGAAAATAGTTGTATCATTGTATGGCTTTGAATTTCTCCTGTATGTATGTATTCTTTGCATTCTCAGACCTCATAAATATCTCTGAAAGTCACAAAGATGAGAACTGTTGAAGTACAACCACACTCCCATGGTATGCCATTTGGAGATGTGCACTGTCATCCCAATTTATTGCAGAAAGGCTGTTTTCCTAGCTAGAAGGACTAGAAGCTCATAAAATAATTAACAATCCCAAGGACTTGTAGATGCTTTTTACCACTTTCAAGAAAGCAAATACTTTAACTCTTGCTCTTATTAAGTTACTTTGCAGCCCAGATCCTTCTATGCCTTCTGTCTTTGTCTTGAATATTTTGTGCTTCCAGTCTCACCACATCCAAAGCTTTCATGTGTTAGTATCTTAGTTAGTATCTGTATAGATTTGAATTCTTTTCCAAGACATTCACTGCTGTGATAAAGGCCCAAACAAGGATGTCTTCCCATTTAGGTCTTGGTTTCTACTAACTGCTCCAGTTGAGTAGGGATAACTGTGGGAGAAAAATGCAGCTCATGTGCTGGGCTGCTCCTCCAGATGTGAGCAGCTGCCTCTGGCTGGCAGCAGGTATTCATTCCCCTTTTGTACCCAAACATGCCTGAATCCTAGGACATCCCTAAAAGAGAAAAACACCCCAAAAGCTATTGGTGGTCTGGAGTTTGCTATGCAAGCGAACACAGCTGAAAGTAGGGCAGGAGGCACACAGGCACACATAGGTTTTCTCCAGAGGAGTGAATCGTAGAAGTGCTCAGTGTCTGGCAAAGGTGATCTTGCAGTGAACGCTGATTGCTGTAGACAATTGCAGCCATCAGCCCTGCTGTGCCCAAGTACCTACTGGAATGTGGTTCTGGGTGCTGTGCCCAAGTGCAGTATAGGAAGGAGAACTTTGTGATGTTGTCTTTACTGACTGTGTGATTTGGGTGGGAATTTTGGGTACTGCAGGAGCCTGCTGACCTGCAGTACACCCAGAAGCCCTCCAAGCCAGCAGGCTTTCCCTGCCTGTGTGGGAAGTGAATGCTACTGGGGGTTGGCAATCACACCGCTCCAACCCTGCATTCCAGAGAGATTTTGCACCTCACTGACTCCTGCTGCAGTCTTCCCTGCTGAAGTAAATGTGAGCCGACACAGATGAGGTCTAGATCAACATTCCCCTCATTAAACAAAATACAGCTCAATCCTACTTTTGTTCTTGATAGCAGAAAAACTGGAAGAATGTATCCATGTTAACATTAACGAGCAGCCCGCAGTCTTCCCTGCTGCTAATACATAGTGTCAGGTCCTCGCACTGGGGAATCCAGGGATCAGTTCCTTTGGCATCCATCTGGCTTCTGTTATTACCCACGTTTATTAGCAGCGCATCGCTGGAACTCAGCAGCAATTAACCCTCTTGCTAAACAAGCTAGCCCAAGTACCAGGGGTTGTCTGGGTAATTAGTCTTGGCTGTCATTTACAGCTTGTTTGGGTGCCTGGAACATCAGACCGCAGCAGATGAATGAAGGGGATCCCACTGAGATCCCACTTTCTCAGCCCGACTTCCCAGCCAGCCTCCCTGTGTCTCAGCCAGCTGTGTGCCAAATGTCTGCACACACGTGCCTTTAAACATCTATCTCAGAAACAGCTTACTGTTAGAAAATAAATCAAACTCAAATATCAATCTCCATTATTTTCTCCTCAGAGCAATTTGAAAATTTGAAGTAGGTGAAGAAGTTGAAGTAGGTTGTTTTTTGTTTTTTGTTTTTTGTTTTTTTCCCCAGTGCAAAATAAACCAAAAGTCTATTTGTGAAAAAAATAGAAATAGATCAGGATTTTTTCCAATGGTCCCATTTCCTGTGAGAGGGACGCTCTGCATTCCAGCCCATCCTAATCCTTTCCTTCTCTCTGCCATAACTTGGAGACTCTCTCCCTTTCCTATTGTCTCCTTTGTCACGAAGGAGTTTGCGTCCTTTCCAAAAAAAAAAAGTCTTTGTTGTTCCCTGTCTATTTCTAAGTCCCATTCCATGTCCCTTCCACATTGCTGCACAAACCTGCTCCAGCTGCATCCCAGCCCTGGCCTCTAGCTTTATACCCAGGGGCTGTTATGCAAGAACTACCAGCTGATGATCCCCCTCCCCCATACAGCAAGTACTGGTTTGCAGGACTGATGATTTATAAAAGCATTATTTATTTGTGAAGAGGGGTAGGACACAACCGCTTCACAGAAGTAGTGCGTAATGTTCCTGCATGTGTTGAGGAAAAAAAACCCACTCCGTTTATGGTAAACCTCTTTTCTGTGGAAATAAGTCTTATGCAAGCCTAAAGCACTCTTCTGACTCTTCTGAGATAGCTAACTTCAATCAAGTATGGCAGAGATTGATTTCCTGCATGTTTAATGGGGTAGGCTGACTGTGCTGAGTTCTGTTACTGGCCCCAGAGAAAGAGGAATGCTTTATTGGATGTCAAACAATCTGCCTGGAAGAGACTCAGTTCAATCATTCATCTTCAGGTCTGCTGGCTTTCTATCTCTGAAGCAAGTCAATTTGATGAGGACATCCAGCCACATAATTGGCTTTTTAAATCTGTGACCACAAAGCAACCAATTTCTCACTGGTCAATGAAAGCTCAGCACCATTAACCATCCACCATTCCTGAAAAGTCTGTTGGTCAGAACCTCCACTGGTCCCCAACAGAGGAAAGGTGACACCTGGAGAAGCCTTCCTGCCCTCACACAGATGCTCAAAGAGCTTCTCGGGTGCTCATGAGGGCCGACATCCCCAGAGTGCTATCATGGAGCAGGCTAAAAGCTTTTCTCAGCCCAAGCCCGTGTTCAAATTGGACATTTTTGAGCTGCAAAATGAAGCTGTGCTCCACAATGTCCAGCTGCAGGAACACCACTGAGGGCTCTCCAGCCAGGTTCTGTATGGCGTTGGTCAGTAGCAGTCAGTGTGAAGACCAAGCTAACAAGGTATGTGGGAGCTTCAGACTGCTTCTGAGTGCTGTGCTTGCTGGAAGTGATACAGGAACACTGATACAATGCTGCCTCTGAGCTGGTAACCACAACACAAACCCAATGAAGAACTCGACTGGAAGCAACAGAAGCTTTTAAAACTTCCTTCCAAAATCTCACTGAAATCTTGCAGCCTTATCCTACTAGGTGAAAAAAGCTGTTCCAGTCTTCTCCATGACAGCCTCCTTCTTCGTGCTTCTCTTTTCTAGAAGAATCTCACTTGATCCTTGCAGTCTGACTTCTCTTGTGTTTTTTCCCTTTGGCACATCTCTAATCTGCTCACCTCTTTCTCAAGGTGGGGAGCCTGTGGCTGAGTGGAATACTGCTGGGGTTCAGTGCTACCTTGTGCACACAAATGAGATTTCCCTCTGCTCGGACATCATTTGAACACTTATTTTTGTTGTAATCCATGATACCTCCTCAAATCCTTAGCTCTTTAAAGAATTACTACCTGTCTTTTGTGCATTTTGATATTTTCTTTCTTAAAAAGCACTTTATCAGTTATTGAAATGAAATTTCTTGACTCAAGAACATCTCCAGCTTTTCCAGTCTTACTCTGAGTCCTGTCCATGTATTTGGATACAGCCTGATCATGAAAAAACAGTGACATAGTAAGAATTTTGGAGGCTTTTTGAGAATGGGAGGACTATAATGTGCTTCTTCTTGCAATTCTCATAATTATTTTAAAAAATATAGGTGGGTATCTCAGTTGTGAGTTCTGGGAGTAAAACATAGCAGAAAATCCCCGACAGCATGGAGGCCTATGAGCTGTGACAAAACTGTTCCAAATGTGCTGTTAATTCATCCCTTTTCTGTGTTAGTGAATAGGCTCTCCTGCATCCGAAACATTCTAAAAATAACAAAAATACTGAAAAATCAAAAAATAACTTTTCTGGGCATGAATCCTGTGTCAAAGCATTAAAAACAAACTGATGTGACAGCTCCATCTGTAAGGAGAGGAACTGATTTCTGCAATATTCATGAATCTCTGGTGCAGTGATTTGTTGGAAGCAGGTGGTATGATTCAAAGCATTTAGTGACACATCATGCCATAGTTGTTAGTGGTCACCTGGAAAAACTTAGACTGTATTTGTAATGAACTTCACAGCTTGTTTTCTTCTGCTGGGTACAATAATCTCTAGGTATTTGCAGCTTGCTTATGTAACAAGGGAAACATTTCCAAAACAAACTCTTTTCTGAAAACGTCTGATGTCATTCCCAGAAGCTGATGCACCAGCCTGGAAACCAGGTCCTTAGATGGCACAGAAGCTCTGGAGAGTGTGCTTTGCTTTATAGGAACCACTGAACCTCTTTTACACACAGCAATAACAGTTCAGCCAGCCCTTCCTCCTGCCTGGAGTTGCTAGGATGTTCTCCACTGAAATTCCCATTCTGTCTCCAGAAGGAATGTCTCACACAACCATTTCACCTGCGATATTTTTTTCTACTTACATAGCTGGAATGCTTTTTCCTATATTCCTTTGCTAAGATTTGAACCTACATTTTGTTAAATTGCCCAAAACCATGTACCAAGCTTTTCCTCTATCAGCCTTCAAGTCAATTATTTTATTTTATTATCGACTTCTACTTTATCTCTCTTTTGTGACTGACGAACATTCAGTCTGCTTAATCCTTCCTTCCTGCATTTGCCTCCTTAAGTTATTTGGTTAAACACATTTCTGGATACTCTTCAGGTGTATGTATGGTCTTGGAGCAGGAACGGACCCTGTAGACCTCTAGCAAAATGTCTTAGAACTATAAAATACGTTAGGAAAAATGGTGATCTAGTTTTTTGGATTTTTTTCAGGAAAAAAAAATTATATCCTGTAGATCTTAAAACTAAGTGACAAAATTTCCTGTTAGAATGTTTAGACATGAGCAAGAAATAAAACTCTAGCATAATGAATTTCATATCTGTATTGAAAGGAAAAGAAAGGAAGAGAAGAGAAGAGAAGAGAAGAGAAGAGAAGAGAAGAGAAGAGAAGAGAAGAGAAGAGAAGAGAAGAGAAGAGAAGAGAAGAGAAAGAAAAGAAAAGAAAAGAAAAGAAAAGAAAAGAAAAGAAAAGAAAAGAAAAGAAAAGAAAAGAAAAGAAAAGAAAAGAAAAGAAAAGAAAAGAAAAGAAAAGAAAAGAAAAGAAAAGAAAAGAAAAGAAAAGAAAAGAAAAGAAAAGAAAAGAAAAGAAAAGAAAAGAAAAGAAAAGAAAAGAAAAGAACAACACATGGAAGAGCGTGTTCTATTTTCAATGATTCCTTTTTATTTCCATTGCAGCATTGTTTTCTGTCTTTTCTAAAGAATGCAGATTTCTCCTGTGGACATTCAGAGTTTGGTGCAGAACAACTGATCCTTAGGGAAGTTATTTTCTGTAACTGAGATTTCCTTTTTTCCAAAATTCAGCTTGTTGAACTCTGCCATTATCTCCATGATTGACTTTCCCTTGGTCTCAGGGAGGTACAGGTAGACGAAAGTTGCTGATAGAGCAAGGATTCCCAAAAAGATGAGGAAGCAGAAGGGACCGAGGTTATCCTGCAAGCAGAAATGAGAAACACCGTAAGGAAAATAAGAATCTCATTTCCACTTCTTTGCCCTTGGTTGTGGATCTGTGTCTTACTAATGGAAATTCAAAGGTTTGTTCAGTACATGAACCAGAATGAGCATCACAGTGCTGTCCGCGTTTGATCTGCTGCTTCTCTGAGAGGCCTGGGATATTCCTGAGCAGGCGTGGTGTTCAGACAGAGCGCTAAGCTTTGCATATCACTGCAATTCACTGCCATAATTTAGCTCCCTGTCAGCTTCCAGAAGTAGATGAGCCTCGAGGGAGGAATCTGGTTAATGACTTACAACAATCAATGGAAAAACCATCCCGAGTACAAACAGTCCCGTCCAGTTGATGCAGCCGACAATCAGAAAGGCTGATGGTCGGAATGATTGGCTGAAGATTTCAACCATGACAGTTATAGAGGCTCCAGCTGTAAAAGAAAAGCAGAAGTGTACTTGTTTCCTCCATTGCTTAGTGCACCTTGCTCCTGCTGAAGATCCTTGCAGTGGCAATGCTAAGAAACGTCAGGCAGAGTAGGTGGCCTGCTGGCAGATCACTTCTGCCGTGGGGCTGGAAGACCTCGATTCCAGAGAGGTTCTACAGATGCTAATTTAGGACTTCAGGTTTCTCTCATACATGCTGGAATCCTTTTCCTGGTGCCAGTGCAGTTCTGTATTGCATTGGTAGCCATTGTTAATGACTCTTATGTGTCCTGTAGTCATTTCTGCCTGAAGTATGTTAGCAGCTATAAAGCTTAACTCACTGAGTTAATGAAGGGTTGGTCACTACCACTCACCTGGCAATGCCTAGAATCCTATTTCTGGCTTAGTATTTTTAAAAGAGTTCTGAAGTTTTGTTCTTAAACCCTCCAGAGAAAGTAATAGTCTATTTTAAATCATTAGGGTACTGGGATTAGCAAAAAAATTTGAGGTGTTTGTATCCTTTTCCTTTCTCCTGCTTGTACCAATCTGCCCTTTCCTTCTACTTTCCAGAATTTTATCATGGATTTAGTGTATTCTTCCCCTGCCAGTTGTGTTGCTAACCAATATGATGCAGCATTTTCTCTCTTACTCACACGGTCCAATTCCATAGAAGATAACGAATAGGAAGATCAAGACAACACTGAAGTAGTGCAGCCAGAAGAACCGGTGCTGAAAGTGAGAAACCAGTGATACCAAACTGTTAGATACGTGAAAGAATGACAGAGCTCTTTTTCTTCCACTGACTCCAGTGTCTGTACTTATTCATATTCAGGCAGGACCAGAAACGTGGGTTGATGCTGGGCAAGTAGCCAGAAGGCTGCTAGATCTTTACCTGCAGTGACAGGGTGGTGGTAAGGAGTGCTAGCACAGAACACATTAGTGTATATCCTCTCCAGAGCAGAACCTTCCTCCCGAATCTCTCTATAAGGGTGCTCTGAAAGGCAGAAAATGTGTCATAAATCTCAGTTCTCAAATGAAAAAACTCCTGCCCTCTACACGTGTCTTTCACATGAGCCTTATCTGAATAATAGCCAGAAATCTGAGAGACTCTTAACTCCAGATGAATTTATCAGCTTCAAAGCTGTTACTTATTAGTCTCTTCTAGACTGTTATTAGATAGTTTTCTTTCTTGCATGTTTGTATATATCAAACTGTGTATGCATATGTACACTCATCTAATCCCAGCCATCAGATGCAGCTAATCCAGACTCCTGTTCTTTTGGAGCTGTGCCCCTGACTCTTGTGTTCTGCTCATGCCTTCTCATTTAGTGGTTACTCATTGTAACAGAATGAGAGAATATTTTTGCGGAATAAAAATGATTCTAAAGATATAATGGATAAGAGCTGCCTTTCATCCTTCATGTGGTTTTACAGAAACAGGACGATGTGCCTTAGGTTATGCAAATCTTCCCTGGGCCCACTTACAAGAAACAAAAAGCACGGTTGACCACATTACATTTTTCCTTCGAACTCCAGTCTCCAAAGACTTACACACAATATAGAAGATAGGCATTCACATAGCCCAACTCCCAGGGACACGTACGGGATAAGATGTTCTTCAAACTTGGCTGTATGGAATACTTCAAAACAATAGAAGTATATCTGAAAAATGCAGAGAGGAAATGCGTCTGTGAAGAAAAGTTTAGCAATTGTGATGCACATCACTTTTCATCTCTCTTAGTGAAGTTGGAAAATTAGTATAGAAGTGGATTGTGTCCTTTTGGGAGTGAAGAATAACTGTATAGGTCTAGTAAAAGCATAGCCAACAGCTTGAGGGACTTGGTCATTCCTCCCTGCGTGGCACCAAAGTCAGGAGGACTGTGTCAAGTCTTGGGCCCTCACTGCAAGAAAGACACTGAAAAACTAGATCAGGTCTGAGTACTGGCAAAGGGCATGAGGGATAAGGGTGGAGAGGCTGAGGTTTCTTCACCCTGCAGAAGAGACGGTGGGATCTAATTGCAGGTGAGTGTAGGGAAGATGGAGCCAGACTCTTGTAAGAGATACGCAGTGAAAGAACGAGAGACAATGGATACAAGTGACAGCAAGGGATGATTCTAACTGCACATAATACAAATATTCTTCACTGAGAGAATGGCTAAACACTGCTACAGGGATCTGGAGAAGTCATGGAATCTCTAGGCCTCCAAATATCTGCCCCAAACCCTGAACAGCTTGATCTAACTTTGAAGGTCTGCCTTATTGTGAGTCAGATGGCCTTCAGAGCCCTCTTCCCATGGAAATCATTCTGTGAGTTTCTTAGTCTAAGCTGGTGTAAGAAAGAGTGTCTTGGAGGGTTTTGTAATGCTGCCTAATGTTTATTGTTCTGTGGATAAAGAGAGCACTCAACTGCATTGACTCCACAGAGCTGCAAGGTGGTCATGAGAATCATCAGAATGTAAAGCTGCCAGCGCATAGATGGCTCTTTTATTAATTCAAGGACACGCAAGGTTTTGGTGCTCGTCATTGCAACCTTCTCCTTCATAATGTCATCAATTTCTGCTTGATGGTCTCCTTCCCCCCAGAGCTTCCTAATGGCTGTTGTGGAGAGAGAGGGAAGTGCATTATTCTATCAGAATATCTCCATCATAAATGATTACATTAAATCCTTATTCTGCTTATCCATTGATGCAGGTGCTTAGTGTCTGGTTTGTTGTCTGCTTCTGTCTTCTAGTTGATCCTGAGTCAACAGGCAGATAAAAAAATGTTGTCCCTCTGTTGTCAGTATGGAGTATCTTTCTAATGCTGAATTGACTTAATTGTAAACAAAGTAAACATTCATGTACTCTTCATTTAATAAGAAATAGGCTGCCCAAACCATTTCCTTTAAAGAAATAGCTACTGCCCAAACTGGACATTTTAAACATGCTGTTATGCATCTGTCTTTCTTTTCTGTACTGACTAAATTAGCCTGAACTCCCCAGTTAATGCAGATGTTTTGCTTTAGGAAACTGAACTGCTTTAGTCAGAACTACCTCTGCTCCTGCTCCATGGTACACACCACTGTGCTGAACAGCTCTGTCCTGCTTTCGTATCTTCTGCCAAAGCTGGGCATTCTACCATATCACGTGAATTAGGTGGCAAGTTAGGCACTCTACCTTTCCTGAAGGCTTCCTCATTACCCTTCTGGATCAGGAGGTAGGATGGTGAATCAGGGAAAAATGGAAGAGTAACCAGTTGAAGCAGGGCTGACAGTCCACCAAATGCTAACAACCATGGCCACAAAGCTTCACTTCCTAAAATCTCCCTGGAAAGTGCATGTGAAACAAAATTATGAATGTTCAGGAACTTCTCCTGAGTGGTGAGGATTGCTCAAATTCCATTCAGGGGTGCCGTGGAGCAAACACCTGTATTGATGACTTGGCAAATTTCACAAATCTGGCTATTTTTATTTCAGACAAGTTTTAGAAATTTCTTTGGCATCTTGAAATACTTTCTAAAGATGATTTGCATTCTATGTGATGTCTAAAGAGCTGATGAGACCATTTTGGTCATTGTTTGACTGCAGGACCAAAATGTCTTGCTAAGACTTTCATGTAATTGTAGTAAATTTCTGAGGGCAAGTCCTGGAGCAGAAAGGGAGCCTCATGAAGAAGAAATCAGGTCATGAGCAATTTGCTTTTCTTTCTCCTATATTTAAAACTATGTTTGCCTCGAATTTGATCAAAAGTTTTCTTCTGGCATAAGATAAGCCCTGTTTTGGAGAAGATTAAAGGGTTCCTCAGTCATTAAGTAGATGAGAAGGTAAGTATATAGAAAGATTTCTATTGCTTCTAGTGTAACACAGTAGAAAAACAGAAGAATTTACCGTAGTCCAATAACCTGTCCTGTGAGTTTCCCCAGTGTCAGAAAAACAGAAACTGTGGAGTTTGTAAATCCACGCAGCTTCTTGGGTGAAATCTCTCCTACATACTGAGGATGTATATTGAGAGAAAACCCTTAAAGATAAAAGAGGATAAGTGACTGTTAAAATACTGAGAAAAGCTGAAATTTCAGGCCCCATCCTGTCTTCCACCGTTTCCATTCACTCTGATGTTGGGATTCAATTCTTGCAAAGGGATGATGGCTTTCATTTTCATTAAGGGCCTAATCCATTCGCTTGGTTCTTTAAAATCATTACTCAAGAGCAGCAATACCTGAGGAGAAAATCCTGGGACAGCAGGGGTGCTCGCCCTGCACAGCATCACGGGCACCTACCTGTGCCAATGCCGTAAAGGAAGCGTCCGGCCAGAATCAGCTCGAAGGATTTGGCTGTTTTACTCAAGGCCATTAAAAGTGCAGCTACCAGCATGATCAGGTTGGTGGCAATCTGGCACTTTTTTCTGAAACAAAGAACAATACATGAGAATTTAGTGCGAAACAAGAACCCCTTTTGACTTTTTTCTCTGACAGAAAGCATGGCGGAACCATTCCTGTCATTTAAAGGAATGTCTGAAAGGATTTTGACTTTGGATAGTCAAAGAGATGCTTTAATACTTCACAGTCCTTTATGTTTGAATTCATTAATGTTTATCTCAGGAGCTCCTCATAAAATGTGACTTTTTTTCCCAGAAGTAATCTGTCTATGGTTCTTGTTTTAGTATGGATCATACTAAAGGCACTTCTGACAGATGGATGTGATCTGAGGTATTGGGAGATGGCAAAATGCATTTTTCAGAGGTGTGCTTCGTGCTTCAAAAAGCACTCTGTGTAAACTGTGAGCTGATATGCTCCCGATCACAATGTCTCAGGATCAAGTCCAAGTTGTTTGCACTCATTTTTGCTGTGCTGCTGGCTAGACAAGAGTCTGCTTGCACATTAAGAATGCCCAGAGATCCTCTGTTTAAAAGATTGTGATACAGGTTATCCCACACAAAATAATCCATGGGAAAACTCATTTTTATTTCCAGTCATGGGAGACCCTCGGAGTGTGGGATTAGGCAGTGTCCCACAAGAAATTTCTTGGGGGCACTTACCTGACAGGAAAGAACACAAAGGCAGGCAGGCTAAGCTGATTTGTTAAGACCCACATGAGGGGCCTCTGGACCAGTGGATTGTGGAGCAGATCTTTAAATGGATCACACCGAGCAGATAAGTTTGCCAATTTCTCTGCAAATGAAATTAGTGGTGTTATACACAGACAGTGGGAAAAGACCAGACTGGTGAGGAATCTTTTCTCCTTCCAGAGAGAAAAATAATTTTGGAATGATTTCTAGTAAAATGTATTGCCAAAAATGGAGATTTCTCTCGGAGAATTTGTTTTGGTGCTGCCTGTATCTTTTATAGTGTAATTTCAGGAAAATTAATTTTTCCAGTTCTGTTCACAGTTCATTAGTTTAGATATGAATATTTAATATGATGTCATCACTTCAGAACAGCCGTACGTAAGTAGAAATCTGGCTCTTTGTCATGTAGGAATGTCTTCTGCATGCTGTTGTCCAGGTGTTGAAAGAGGCTGCATGTAGCACATTACAGCAGAAGACTTTTTTACAGCTGCTTTTTGGGTGTTCATAAAGCTTGATAGATCTTTCAGCTAGAAAGTGTTGGATGTGCCTGTACACACGATCAGGTTAGTCTGCAGTCAGGCTGCTTCGACCAAGAAGAAGGGGTTATTCATTCACCTTGATATTTCCCTGTACTTGCCGTACTTGGACTCTTGAGCTACTGAGCTTTAGAAACACTTACTTTCTGTATCTGGTAGTCAGGTAGCCACAGCAGAGGCTCCCCAGGAAGCCTCCAATCCCAAAGACAGACACAATGAAGGACCACAGCAGCATGATTGTCTCTGGATGGAGGGGGGAGCCGTGTCGCTCCATCCAGGTTTCATTAATAAAGTTCCTGATGTGCTGAAAAGGAAAATGATTTTTGACTGGATAATGGGTGTCAGATTCCTTCATCTTATTTGGCTGCTGTACTTCAGTTCTACTCAGACTAGATTTCTTTTGAGATTAACTTTCAGAGTAAAACAGGTTAGTTGAGATCAATTTCAAAATCTTCAAATTAGTGTCAGTCAGTAAGCTTGAAAAACAGAAAATGTGCTGTTGTCATTCTTCTCCATTTTAGAAAGTTCTATTTGATGAAATCTAGGAATTGTAGGAAGGCCTTGGTGGCTAATCCTTTACAATTAAATCAGGAGAAAAAGGACTGAGGAAGGAGAAGCAAAATTACAAATCAAATTCAGACAGGTTAATGCAAGGTTGCTCTCTCATTTATGGGCTCTAGCTATGAGAAGCATGGTTTATACACGTGGAAGACAGTAATGGTGCTGACAGTGTAATGCTGTGACTTTGACATCTGTATAGTTGGCCATGTTTTGCCTGTAAGTAGCATACAGGAGAGAAGATCACGTGCATGGCACCAGACAGATTGATGAATTGGAAAGCAAGACCCCCAGATCTTGAAACTGGCCAGGGAGATTGCTACCTACCACAGAGGGGGAGTTGATGACAGAAATATGGAATCCATATGGGAAACTACCTCCAATTCCCAGCACTAGGACCATTTGAAGTAGCCCCTGGAACTGAACCTGCAAAGAGAAAAAAAAGTACTCCATCAACTTCACATTAATGTACTGCTTTCATTTCTGACTTTGTTGTTATTCTTAAGCTTAATAAAGGAAAGATACTTTTAACATTTGCCTTTTTCAGAAAGGCATGGGCTAAAAGGAGAAGATGGTAATTTGGAATAGTCTTTGTAATTGCACTAACACAAAACTCTCCCTAACACAAAACTACCCAGACGTATCTGGGTATGTGATACTACTGATCTGTATAGAAGACACTGTGCTCTGTGTTCTTTACAAGTCAGATCGTAATCATAGCATCACAGAATGGCTTAGAATGGAGGGGACCTTAAAGATCACCCAGCCCCAACTCCCTGCCATGGCTGTGGGGCACCCACAGCTCTGCCTCGACACTCTGAGTAACATTTCTGCTTAACATCTAACCCAAATCTCCCTTCTTTTATATTAAAGCCATTCCCCCTTTTCCTATCATGAGCTTCATAAGCTCACAGTTTCCTGGAGATCAGTGCCTAGATGAAGAAAAACTGGAATAAAATACAATCAGACAGGAGCAAAGTAAAGTAAATGTGTGTAATGGTGGCTTGGATGATATTTAGATCTCTCCTTATTCTAGTTCTTAGATCCATCTTTCAAGGGCCGGTTACTTCATTTCTCCACTACTGAATTTCCTAAGTTATCTCATGACAAGAATAGAGAAGTAATGGATCAGGAGATTCTGAATTTCCTTCAAAGTTCTGTCTCAGATTCAATGGATTTGCTAATCAACAAAAATTAACTCACCTTCTCACTCTTCCTTTTTTTTTTTTAATGGGTGCATGATAGATTTAGAAATTCAGAATTTTAGTACTTATTGGAAGTTGAGAAAGTAAGAAATACTTGTTAGAATTTCTTCCCCTCTTAAGACTATGGTAACTCTTGATGGATGATATTAAATGGATGGATGAAATGGGGAAGCCCGTTTCTTTTGCAGCTTGTCATGTGTATCGTAGCCTTTTGCAGCACAGTTAATCCATTCATTACTTCAGAATTAGTCGTTAAAGTAATCAGAGCGCCTGCTAGTTTTCAGTAATTCAGAAGACGAAAGTACAACAGCGTTGTCAGACGGTGGAACTGCGAGAAGTTTTGTTAGTTTTTATTTTGTCTTCTTGCACGAAAAAGACCCTTCCATGCCCCAACCCCATTCCTCTTGGCGATGTTTAAATGCAGAAGAGAAGGATGGTCGCTGTCCTAAAAGCTTATAATCTTTAAGTAATCTGGATCACGTTAGCCTTGCCCTTTAAATGTCAGGGACATGAGAAAGTGACACTTACTCACCAGGTCAGAGAAAAAGGTGGCCATCTCCAACGAAAGAGCTGATTCCTATTGCTTACTGACTGGTACCTGCCAGAGGAACTGAAAGCTCGCGTTGCACAATAGCAGCGTCAGTGAACTAGTCCTACATTACTGAAGTTAAAGTTTAGTTAGAAGGTTTTTGAGTTAATTACACTTATTTCAGCTGTTGTACAAAGTTTAGAATTGTTGGATTAAATATTTCAACCAGTGGTTATGTCTAGCTCAAGTAACCAAGACGGTCTCACTCGCCAGGAACCTGTATACATTATGAACTCTCTTTTGTCCTTGGGCAATGGGTAACAGAGACATTGATTTTAGAAAGAACTGCAATAGCCTTAACTTGCTTAGTTCTCAGTAGAAACTAAGAAACTTAGAGGCAGTGTTATCTGTTGGGAATTTTAAATGGGGCTCGGATAGTGATATCTACAGGACTTTTGGAAAGAGCCTAACAATTCTACAGTGGCACATTGGGCTCAAGCAGCTGTTAGGAGTACTGGATTTTTCTTTGCTGAAAAAGGTTCAACATCAGGCCAGTAACCTTCAGAGCTGGAGTGTTGTCTCTTACATCAGATAGAACATTTTCAGACTTTAACTTCGTTTATTTCAAGGCTAAAATGGTTTTATATGTGTTAAGCTGGTAAATGGCTTAGATATCATCTACATTTTATACCTCAGCTAAAGAAGATGAAGAAATCAGAAAGAAATTGTTGTATGCAAATAGTCACACTACAAAATAGATCAACTGCAAAGAATATTCACAGTTCTCCAGCTGACATCTGAGATGTAGTGCCACCTGGCCAATTTCCTCAACTTTATGTTGTTCTCATAGTGAAACTGTCTTCTGATGTAAGTTGAGAATACACAGTGTTTTGTTTTGTTTTGTTTTCTGATTAGATCTCCAGCGGTGAAGCTGTTGTTAGAACACAAGTGAGACCATCCCTTTGAATTAGGAATTAATGTATTTTTCTGGAAAGTCATGCAAAGTTGGAATGACATACCATGCATCTGCCAAAGGAAAGAAGTGCTATGCTAGCTGCTAGTATCTGCCTTGCTTAGATGGCACTGGGGGGAAATGCAGTGTTACAGTCATGCAAGACACACATATGCAAAGCTGTCCTGAGCCTTCTCAAATAAGGTCTAACTAGCCCAGGTCTGTTCTTAGTGTAGCAGCACTTCTCTGATCCCATTTGAAAGTTTTTGTAGCTGCCTCAGAGTCAGTATTTGAGACAATCCTTACACATCAGCTGATGGCTCTGAATGCATACATGTGCTGCTCCTGATGCTTCTGAGTGCTTCACCTCTTCGGCACCTCTGGCTCCCTGGGCTGGACTTCCACAGTACTTTGAAGTATCGTCAATATGCTGCAGTCATTCTGTTTCAGATAACTGGGAGGTGTGTTTAGGAGGCTTTTGGCAACTTTTATTCATTCTGACCCCAAAATATCGCAGAACACCTGGATTGCTAAGGCTTAAATAGGTGAGCAGAACTGCCAGTATAGCTACCCAACGTGTTCTATGCTATGAATTATTGCAGATACTCCAGCTTTGAGTATTTGTACTCAGTACAGTACAGAACCAGTATTTGAACTATACATTTTTGCTTTTTCATCCCTTGACCAGGCTGTTGCCAGAATGCAGCTCGCTCCACTGAGCACAGGCAAAGGTTGACCTGTGCTCCAAATAGCTGTTCCACTTTGTTGTCACATTAATGTTCCATAGGGCATCCGCTCAGTTCCTGTTAAGGATCATATGGAGAAGACTTTCCTAAAAACATCTAATGAATAACAGATCAGAGGAGTGGCTCACTGGAGAGTCAACCCAGCAGTGCTACATGATGACACTCTGCTTATGTTTCCAAAGATTTGGGGTATTGTTGCACTGAAGTGTGTGCTCAGACTGACGGGTTAGGAAAAGATAATTCTGTTTTACCAAAGTTGAGATTTCTACAAGGAAAGACTTGTCTCCAAATGACTAATAGTCATTGGTTTCTATTTATGTTGTTATACATAGAATCCTAGAATCTTAGAATGGTTTGGTTGGAAAGGACCCTTAAGATCACCTAGTTCCAACCCCATTGCTATAGGCAGGAACACCTCCCAATAGACCAGGCTGCTCACAACCCCATCCAGCCTGGGTGTATATAAACACATATACAGAACACTGCAAAATTTTGGGGCTTTTCTCATTCTAGAGTTCTCCATGTTTCATAGATTATCTTTTGGTGAGAAGTCTTAAGTGCTCTTCAGTACGAAACAAACAACAAAAAATCCCAGTCATGGAAGGATCTGCACACCAATAGTTTTTTTCTAGTCAGCTGTTCCTGAGGGATGTCCTATTGTTGGGAAAGAAACACTTGTGGAAGCCAGAAGTATTATTCCAAGTTCATCTGCCATTTTTATTATGTGTAACGTTTCCAATGAAAGGTAAGCAGCAGTTAAGATGAACGGCAGAATTCGTATTTTGAATAGCTGACATTGGAGTTGAAGTAAACACACCAGTCAAAGCAGTATCAGAGATAAAAAGGAACATTTATTTTATTATGCACATCTAGGGTGTAGATTTTACTTTGCATATTGCACTCCGCTGCATATTGCTCTGTGTTTCACTGCCCTCAAGGTAATTGTGGGCACTCTGATCCTGGAGGGGTAGCAACAGGCTTAGAGTGATGGTGCTGATGGGGCGATAGCACTGAGGATCTGAAAGGACTCCCCGTGCTTCTGTTTTCTGACAGTGGGTTTCCATCTGTGACTTCATTAGCTGTATTGCCACTGAAACAAATAAAGCTGTATAGGAATTTTTTTACTCATTCTTTATCCATTTTGTGAACAAATCTGATTTTAGAATCAAGTGATGGATTTTCTTTCTTTTTTTTTTTATTTTAAATAAAATAATTCAATGCAATTCTCAGCAAGGAGAGCTGCTGATATCGAAAGTTTAAAACCCAAAAGCTCTGAATTTTGACAAACTAGAGTGAAAGTCTGATAACAGAAGGAAATTGTGGCATTAAGTACAGGAATCTGGAAAGATGTGGTTGTTCAGTCTAAAGAAACAAAGACTCTGTCCTATTCTGTTATTTCTTTTTCTTTAATCTGTTGTGAACTGAAATCTAGCCAGAGATAGCAAGCCAAGAACTTTACTATTGCTATTTCAGGGTTGTAAATACAAACTCATGACTCAGAGAGAGAGAAGGGACCATAAGTCTTCTTTTTCTGTGTGGTCAGCAGAATGTTTAGAAATTCTACATGCAGTTTCAGTGTGTATTAATTGCTCCATTATAGAAGAGATTTACACATCAGCAAGTTGAGCCAAGATGTGCATGAGTTAGACGAGTCTATTCCGCTAATATAAGCCATCATCCCTTTTCTAAGCTGCCCAGAGTGGAGTGCTTTAGAACCGTGCTGTTTTGGCAAAGGAAAAGCCTCGTAGGTGATGGGTAATAAAAGCTGATAGTCCATTTGACCAACATACAAACCAGAGAACAACAAATGTATTTTCTTTCTTCCTTTTAAGAATGCTTGCTACCTCTGTACCAGCCAGTCACAGCCTGGTGCAGAAGGTGTAACCCTCCTCCATGACATGGTTTGGAGTTGCTGAAACATGCTTCTTTCTGAAGTTTAGCTTATCAAACTCTTCTGTTATTTCCACAATTGACTTCCCTTTTGTTTCTGGAAGGAACAGGTGGAAAAACGTTGCTGAAGAGAAAAGTACCCCTATAAAGATGAGGAAACAGAAGTGCTTGAGTCCTTCCTGCAGGGAAGAGCAGAGTGAGAAAGAGAGCAAGATGAGCACATCTTTGTGTTTGTCACATTCTCGAGACGTCTCCTGCTGCTCTTCTTCCAACTCCCATGGCCAGCTCTGGAGCATGGCTCGCCTGGGGAGCGCCCTGGGGTGTCACTCACCACGATGAATGGGAAGGTTGTTCCAATCACAAAGACACCCAGCCAATTGAAAACTGAACTGATCACAAAGGCGGGTGGTCTACAGGACAGATTGAAAATTTCAACCCTCATGGAAACTGTGGCACCACCTAAAAAGGAAGAGGAGTAAGATTTACTTCTCAGTGTGTTTGATTTGAAGGTTTGGATCTTCAAAAAGATGCTACTGCTGTTGGCCGGCATTCAAGAGACTCTTTTCTTTTAGAAAAGAAAGTGTTTGTGGCATCTTATAAACTGTTAGACATCACTTTATTTAAATATTACTTTCTTCAAACAAATTTTATTGGGAAGATTTAAGAATTGAGCAGTTAGCATTTCAAAAAATCTGACATCTTCTCATGAAAAAAGCTGCATAGGAGTGAAATACCAATTATTACTACAAGCAAGAATTCCCAGTATGATATTGCTAGATCAGTGATAAGCAGTCTTTCCAGATTCACTTCCTGGGCATTTCAGTTATGATCTTGAAGTCACAGAACTTTGGCCGGCTTTGAGTTAGGTAAATAATTTCACCTACTGTGTGAGAAGGCAAGTATTTTAAAAATAAATAAGCTTTTTAAGTTCACAAGGAGTTGGTAGTATAGATTAGGAAAAGAGTTAATCTGAAGTAGGTCATCTATGCTGCTGTTTATGTGGGATACAATGTGAGAGTATACGACAAGGAATTTAAAAGTATCCTTGGGTTTCTTTTTCTCTCTTCTTTTTTTTTTAATTGTTTCTAAAAAATCTACTTTCACTCTGTTTCTCTATGATTTTTTGGTGAATACTTTTTGCTCTCTCTTTTCATCAGTCTCTCGTTATAAAAACTCAAACCTGATGGCATTGCAGTTTCTGGCCACTGACTGGACCCACGATGCTTATGTGACTACAAGGTCAGGTTAAATGAACTCACCTTTGTGAAATGCTGCATGCTATATAATGCAATATTTCCCCAGCCATATTTGTAAGGGAACATGACTTGATTCTTTTACTTCTTTGGAATGCAGTACTCACCTGGCCCAAGCCCAAAGACAACTACAAATAAGATAATCAGACAGAGGCTGCAGTATGGCATCCAGAAATACCAATCCTGGGAAAACACGACAAAACAAAGAAAAAAAACAATTTATGAGTGAAATCTGTGAATACCTGTAGGTTAGAAAAGTTTTCTGACACTGTTACTTCAATAAAAAACATATGGTGT